TTAATGGGGCTCAGATAATTTGGAAATCTCTATAGACTTGGTGCTCGTGTTCCCTTCACTTTTCACAGTATAGTGTAAATGAAATTCCTGTTGGTAGAAATGTACTTTTAGTTGACTTCAGTTCAAGTCACGGACTGACATCAGGTGGGTTAAAATAGAAAATGTTGAATGGTATTAAAAGTCCTAATTCAAAAATTTCCAACATTACTCACCCACAGCCTGAAGCATAAGTACACTCAGGACCATCGTGGAATACAATGGAATTTAACAAAGCCTTTTGGAGTATATTCATTTGTATCCATGAAATAAAACTGATCATATCCTTTAAGAAAGATTCTGATACGTTTCTTAAGGCAGAGCATTGGCTAATTTTGCTGAATTAAATTATTTGAAGTCTATTGGTTAAACAATCAAAATAAAGATAATTCAAAGAGGGAAATTTTCGGTTCGACGATGTCACTTACTAAATCTGTACAATCGTACTTATGATCATTTTACATAAAGATAAATTTACGGAAGGCTAACCTGAAAGAGACATCATAGGAACTTATAAAGTTGTCTTATGCTGAAAAGTAAGAGAAACTTCATATAATCTCGATCCTCGAGAGCTAAATGAATCTGGAGCAAGAAACAGTTGACGGGAAATTGAGTTTAAACCACCAAACACTGATGTAAAATAGCATTCCTCCAAGGTTAATCGATAGTAACCTAGAATCAAAACGTCAAATAGAATCACCAACAACACTGGAGATACATCAGCGACGAGCTCGGAAAACCGGCTGTCAAATAGCTTTTTATTCATTTGAACAATTAGTTGGATTCTCCAGTAAATAACTGACCCAAGGATATCCCAAAGATAAGCTGCTACTTTGTGCTGCCTTAATATATATCTACAAATTTACTTGCTCCTATAGACTACAAAGCATACTCTTTCTAAAAGCATTTCTGAAAACTACTAAGTATGGTTACATAAATATGAATATAAATCAACCCAAGTTCTGTTTTTGATCACTTTGTCATCTATCCCAGAATCTTTATTCAAATCGGATCACAGAAACAAACAAACTGGCCCTAAGATAAGTTGAATGAGAAATTTGTGCTTAGCAGAGTCTTTGATAACTCACCTATTTCAGTTTGGTTTTTGTGTTCCGAACTGTTATATTTAATCCCATATTTTACCACTGATGAGAGGTATATGCTCGTCCACGAGGGGTAACAGGCATAAGTGAGTAAATAACATATTTAACCATAGTCCTAACTATCCACTCTGATTCCGGTAATCATTTCTGAAATACGTTGATTACTTTTCTCTCTTATTTTAAATTCTTGTAGTTGATAATTATATTTCACACCTATCATATATATGATTGTACAGCTTTAATAAATGACATCACCGGAAAGAAAATTTTTACTCTGACTTCGCATTATAATAAATTAAGATCGACAGTCACAAAAATGTTTCAACTGATTGTTGTTCATTTCCGTCTTTGTGTCAATCTCGCGTTCCATCACTATGAGAGCAAATGAGACCACATATTGTTTGCTTACGTAAACACCGACCTTTGATTTTAACTAAATTCTTATAATAACTTATTGATTTCGTTTTATAGCCTGCAGTGCTTCAAATTCTTCGATAGATTCAACAAGGAAATTTATTTCTTGGGTAAATTTGAAAATCATATACTCCACTTGCAAATATCTGATGGAGAAACGTCAAAAGCTGGGGAACATCAGACAGCTGTTCATATTTATCTGGAACTTTTCAGTTGCATGTTGCTAAATAACTGAGTTCGATCATGAATAACATCATTTACATGTATTACTGAAGTACCGTAAACTAGAAAGAAACTGATATCCATTGTTCCCTAGTTTCCAGTGGTTCTTCAGGAGATAATAACTTGTAATGAAAACCTGCTTTTATGAAGAATTACTTCAACATAAACCATAAACCACACAAGGGTGGCTAATTAGAGATTTCATATATGTTAAAAGTCACTTTCATTGCCAACTGACATCAGTTGAAGAATTTCAATAAACAGGCTATGTTTATACCACTTTTTATCTTTAATCAGACATTTTATCATGTAAAATTTTCTCAGTTTATGTATGATTGTTAAGTTTATTTCTACTCAGTTCGTAACTAGATAGAAAGGCTGATTTCATCCCGCGACGGCGTTTGAAGCGAACGGTACTAGGTTTGAGTCCCGGAGTGAATATCAACTTTGGGATGGAGATACATCCAGCTGATCAGTCCCAAATAGGGTTCCACTGCTAGCCACTATCAATCTTTGCTTGAAAAGCTTGTGACTTAAGGTTATATAGAGACAATTCGCACAGGATGAACATATGCCAACAAGAGACAGATCAATTGCAGTCCTAAATAACAATGAGAAGATACAAGTAAAACAACACCAAGTGAATTCATGCTTAGAAATATTGCATCTTTTGTTTGATGAAAAAATGCAACAACTTAATAGTGCATAAATAAGCAGTTTGTTGAATATGCAAAGTAGAGAGAGATGAACAAATAAAAGAAATAAATAGTTATCATTCATTGGATTTGTTATTATTAATTACCAGGTACACACAAAGAAAAGTATTATTTTTTTTAAATTTGTTATGCTACTAAAATCTAGTGTACTAGTGTTTATAAAAACACCAATATATTTGTATTAATAAATATTTTAGTGTAGCGTTTTGTTCTGATTTATATAAGTCATTTTTGGAAACGATGGAGGAGAATGAGACACTGAAAATACGGAAGTCAGTACCGGTTTTCAGAATCACTTTTCCCACTATCATAGTATTCGTTATCCATTCATCTTTTTTTTACAGAACTAAGTTTATCGGTTATGTTAGATCTAGTTATAAAAAAATGGGTTACTATCTGTTGCTAAGGGAAGTATGTTCTCTTTTAACTAAATAATATATTATGATGGTAGAATGTTACTTATAAGTAGTGCTATTTTGTCAAGATAATTTGGTTAGTGACAAGACTTCATAAACTTCCAGTGAATATCGGGGGCTAGTTAATACTTTTAATTAGAACAAGCAACCATCGTGAAATTTACATTGGTCCAAGATTGTGTTATAGCACATATAAATAAGTTAACAAGAATAGAAGCAGTCATTTATCGATCAGCCAAACGATAAAAGGATTAAAACGAAACCTACAAAATCTACCAACCTGTCTTAAAAAGCCTACTTATCAGTTAGATAAATATTGTTGGTTCATTTGTCAAGCAAGATGTACGTAATACACAATGGGATATTTGCTTTGTAAGGTGATGTTTAGATGAAGTTAGGAAACTCTGGACGCTCGTTAGCAAGGTTTACCAGTAATCTACAAGGAACTAATTGTAAATACAACTCACTCATATAAAATGTTAGTCACGACCCAAATTGAATTAGAATTGAAAACTGCACTTATAGGAATAAAAAGGAAAGTGTATACCATAGTGTTTCCAAAAGCAACAGTAAGAAAACAGATGAGAAAGGTAGCTTGCTAATTCTTTCTTTTTAGCGGTCAAAGTAAATTTATTTATTCATAGATTATAGTGTTACGATAAAACAGTTATCAAGCAAAGATTCTTTCGCGACGAGAGATACGTCTAGATTATTGTTATTTTAATTAGATGAGTACTGAGTAATTACATGATTGAAGATATTAGTTAAGAAATTGTTTTGCATATAATATATAGAGACATAACAAATCTAGGCTAGACTATTATTAAAAATCTGGAAGCACTAAAGAGCTGTTTCTTCCTAGTACACGACTCCTCAGTAGTACACTTCCACGATCGCACACGAGGGATTCGAACCCGAAACCTTCGATATCGCGCACGAACGCCTAACCTTTAGTCCGCTGAGCTGGCACCAAACGGTGTTCATTTTTAACTTCGACCGATCTGTGATCTTGCTTGATTTTAATTACCTACGTCATTATAGACAGGTATTTTCCAATCGCTCAAATTAAAATTGTCTCACGTGTGATCTAAACTCCAAAAACTGAAGTAACCATAAAATCATATAATTTACGATTATTATGTATGAATACGAAGAACAGGAGTGAATTAAATACAATTAAATAGTAGATGTCTATTTGTCCCAATCAACAAAGTTTAAATATATATTAACCAGTTGCACACAATAACTGTTAAATACGCGAATAAAATCACTAGTCTATTTCACCAAACATTATCTAAATTATCATCCATAACTTGAAACTAGTAATAAAATCTTTTCGAATGATAAAGTTATCATTAGGGCTGTGTATTAAGTGATAAGTCTTCCTAAACGAACGTTCAATCCGATTTCCTGGACATTCCGATCAACCTCAGATGAAAGCAAGACGGCAAATTGAACACAAACGAAACGGCCCGAACACTGGTGATAAGGCTTTATTTCACTTCCAAAATGAAAGTCGAAATGATTCAAGAAGGCATCTTATTGAATATAATTTATTTACAGCTGGATTAACAGTCAGGATTGTACAAATTGAACTGAATTGTATTTAGGAATGAAAATTCAAAAAATTTCTGTTTGGAACATATAATACATCTATAATTTTTTTGAAAAACGTTAGTGCGTACCACACAGAGAGAATTCAAAACTTGATTTCTTAATTATTGATTGTGACATCAGTATTTTGAAACTGATTCAATCATAACACTGTGGTATATCCAAAATTAAACTAATTTATCTGGTGACAGTGAAAGTTTTTCAAGGATTAGAACCAATTGTCATCATATTCATAGTGGCATCATGTTTTGCCAACTGAATTGTGAGAGTCACCTGATAGTAGTAATGTTTTCAGTTTTCCTCAATCGTAAACTAATGACTGTCGTTTTGATGAGAGAGATATAAGTACAATGGTAACAACAATAATGAAAGTAATAATCACCACAGTAATTCATATTCATATCACGGACCTACTTCACATAAATACGATCCCTCCAACTTGCAAAAGCTGTCTTACTGCAAACGGTCTGCGACTCAAGTTACATTCAAAACGATACTATTACTACTATTACGATTACTACTACTACTACTACTATTACTACTACTACTACTACTACTACTACTACTACTACTACTACTACTACTACTACTACTACTAATAATAATAATAATAATAATAATAATAATAATAATAATAGTGCAACTACTACTACGAACAATGATAATAATACATGATAATAAAAGTACAAGACAATAATAATAATATTAATAATACATGATAATCCAACTCCAATGAGACATAATAATAAGGAATAGACATATACAATCTCGTAGTAAATGACTTAGACTATTATACTTTAGAACAACAAAATTAAGCGAACAATATGGTTTACGATTAGATCCTCATCAGGCTTTACATGTACTATACAGTAATATTTGTATGCATATACGAAATTATTAGACCAATCAAGATAGTTTATGAGTCAATGATAACAATGAAAACGATTACATAATAAGTGAAAAGTGAAAAGTACAAATTATAGTTTAACACTAGATTAGGAAATTAGGATGCTATGCACTTATGACGGCCATTTTAATATCATAATGAAAATTCGGACTGAGATAGTTATTATCATGAGGTCATAAATTAAAAAAGATAGAAACGAGACATTCAATTGATGTCGAATAATAATTAGAGGATGATAGAACTAATTAGTCTCAGTTAATGATGATTTTGTTGATAATGCCTAGACACAAATACTCATGTCGCATTAAAAATAGTAATTATTTTGGTTATATTCAACGACTAGAAAAGAAGGATAGGAAATCGAAACCTTTAATTAAAGCGCAGGGAGGCAAACGTCTAATTTTCAACTTTCGTTACGGTTACCAACATTCGATATACACATAAATCTGCATACGCAAATATCATCACCTAGTTGAACGTTGACGAAACTTGATGTCGGACCCGGAAATTCCACAAATATGTAGAAATTAACTTTGTCATCATTGGGTTGACATTGATAAGAGGACCAGTAAAAGTCAGGAAGTGCGAGACATTCTAGTTATGGGACTCGTCAGTAGTGCGCATCCACGAACACTCCAATGGTTACTGGTGATTAACTACGAGAAATTCCTAGTGCAAAGACGAAATCTCTGGAGTCCAATTAAGGTGGGAGGGAGACAGATATAATCTGTAACACTGAATGATCCTCATTCTCTAATGTGAATCGACTGAAAGTAAACATGTGGACAATTGAAGTTTACTTGAACACTTACCAGTATACTGGTAATTATTATTCTACACAGTTTGACACGGAGTGATGAGGAGACTGAGTTTATCAAGACCTGTATATCTATCGAGTCGTAACTTACAGACTGATGTTTTACCGTCACGAATGGTATATATTGATAAACGGTAATTAATTAAGGAAGGATCTGTTTGAAGTTGTGCCCGATTTTCCCTCGTCATCCGAGTATTGAAAATGCATTTACAAGTGATAGCATAGCGCAGAAAAGTCATATGAAGCAAGTAGGAAAATATCTAAATGTGATGGTTGTGATCAGGTTGAGATGCAAATTTGAAATGACTTCATGATAGATGAAGTGTACACAGTGGTATATGTAATAATATTAATAGGACAGATCTTTGTGTTTTCAATGACTTTTCATTTAATATCAGGCTCCGATGACGGTGCTCGTCATATTGAAAATACTTATAGAAATTGGCTAATTGAACGACAATCCTGTACTCACTGGTTACTGGCTAACGGATGAGTTTCCAGGATTTGTAGTGGAAATTTGTGAGATCGATCAATTTTTTAGGGTAACAATTCCAGGCCTATGCCACTTGACGAAGGTTGAACAGTATCGTGAGTTCTCTGATTTTACAAATGCTGACACTGGATACTAAAGCAGTGACCAAATGATATTATAATCGTCTCAAGATGTGGTGGTCCTAGCTTAGATCCGGTGAGGAGATGTTTATATTCACTGTTAATGAATCTTAAAGTAGAATGAAATGGTTGTTTGGTACTTCTTGGTACTGAATTGTTTTCCATCTGATTTTAAAATATGATGAAAACTATTTTCAGATTTCGCATATCTCCACAAACTACTGAACATAATAATAATGATAATGATAATAATAATAATAATAATAATAATAACAATAATAATAATAGTAATGATCTTATTATTATTATGATGATGATTGATGTTATTATTTTACCATTTCATAACATTATTACCACTAACCACACTGCATTTTCAGTTAGATGTTAGTTGAGTTTATTATCATCAATAATCAGCGCCCCACATATATATATTGAGCACTTCCTATCAATAACTCGAGACTTATTGTGTTTCCGATTAACTGTATATCACTGGAACCCTACACATGTGCATTCTAACTGTTGACCATCTACAACTAAATTGACTCTATGCTATCCTGTTGCATTTCAATGTTATTAAACTACCTTCGTGTAACAAACATGTAAACATTATCATTCAATATACTGACTAACGTGACATTGAAATAGTCACTATATATATACAATACCAGACCAGACCAGAGAATATTTCATTCCCATTTCTCTCGCCTATATCTTTAGTAAAACTAAATAAGAAATACAAAAATGTTGATTTGTAACACTCATTCTATTGTATATTCGTCAATCAGTACAAAATCGCTGATCAATTCATTATGTACTGAATGCACTTCAACTTTTAGAGGATAAAACGCAGAACAAACAAACATTAGTTTTATTATTCTTTTTGGATTACTATTGGTATTTTGTCTGTAAAAAGTTGAGCTAACCGGGGTAATTTAATAAACACATAGGCACATCTAACAAAAGTCGTATGATTGAGTTTTGTGAAAAGCTCAACAAATCAATGAATAATTGGTGGTGTGTAGAAACGTATGAGTATTAATTTCAACAACTCTATTGAATAAACACTTAATTGATATACGCCAAAACATATGCATATAATTACTTATATATATTTTAATAATCATATAAATAGTAATAACAATAATAATGAATGAATGAATGAATGAATGAATGAATGAATGAATGAATGATTGAATGAATGAATGAATGAAAACGACTTAGACATTTCTCAACTAGAAAGAAATAGCGACTAAGTATTAAACCGGTGTTCTTCACTCACAAACAAATCTACTCATATTTGTGTTTTATTGTCTTCCCTTCTGATACTGTCTCTGAAGAACAGCAAATAAACAGGTTAACAAGCCGAGAAAAAATAGATTTACTGATATACAGCAGTTCTTTATTAGTATACAGTTTATAGTTTACATAGGGGATTGATCTCAGTCAAACTAACTACTGGAAAGGTGTTTCATCCTAACCTGAGACTGTTCAGTAGAGAGCACTGAAATCTCCGGGATTCGAATCTAGCTGTTTCATGCCTCTCGACTAGTATGTTAGCTTTAAACCACCGAGTTGACACCAGTGCTTTATATTTCCAGCCTCAGTGAGTTCACGATATCCCACGACCATCATCGTTTACCATCGATGTTACCTGTCTCTCCTCTGACCACTGGACGCTCGTCTAGTCCTAGTTTCTGACTGCCCCCAATGAGAATCGCAAACCTAAAGAGCAACACATGTCTTTCTTCCGATCTAAGTAAGTACATAATACCAACTATTCAATAAATAGAAGACAGTGTCTCAACAGTCTCTATACACCACACATAGAAAGATATTACTGGATACAAAGGTCCTGATTAGGTGACAATGCCTTCGAACATGATACGACACCTGAACATCATAGGTCTAATGCGAAGTGACTCTCTGAGTGTTCTTTATCAACTAAAATAGGACCGAGTTGGAACACGTGGCCGATTCTCTCTGATTTACAAATGCCACAAAGTTGATACCGATTTCTGATGACACCTGGGTGTAGATTCTTGCTATTGGTAATTATTGGCACAAACAAATAATTGGCTAACATCACAGACTAAAATACATCATCAGATTTACAAACAATGATATTTACAATAATCCATTAAGTGTTTGTACTCGTGACTCCACTTATTTTCAACATATCCATATGTACGCATACATCCATCTATCTGTCATTGTGTAGTGAAAGATTTGTTTAATTTAGTCAACTCAAATAACAAACTAAACGAGTGTGACTCTCATGACTACAATTAGTAAGAAAAAAATTTCTACGGGTTAAATGGAATTAATATTGACTGATGGAGTGTAGTCACACCACACACATACTCACACATGCTCACACACACAAGCACACTCTCTCTTGCTTGATTGACTGATGAATGAATTAATGAATCGAATGGTTTGTTTAATGTTCTGTTTACTTTATGCAATTTAAGCTGTTACCTTTATTCATAAGTCGAATAAGAATAGTGGTTCACACATAACTAATTTACAAAACGATACTTCATTTTAATTATTTTCGGTATTATTCGGATGTTTCTATCATTTGTGTGTTTTGCTTCGATTGACACAATTCAGTAACTATCTGATCAAGCGTGATAGTGAAATCAATCCGTAAATCAGTTTATTTCTTAAACAAAAATAACATTTCACAAAGTCTGAGGATGATACATTTATTCAAGTTTCTTAACACTACAACTTTTGTAGTTCACTGTTGTTAAAAGACTATAATCAGCACAAGATGAAAGCATTCAGAGGAGTGTGGAAGGTTTATAGTATCATCAAACAAACAAGCGTCGTTATCAGTTTACATACATGGCACCAAATTTTTGATATTACACAAATTATTTGTAGATTTTTGCTCAGTTTACAGTTTTTATATGTATTTATTAGAAACGTACATCTACAGTTCAGAGATACACTATGTCGTAAAAGTGTATGTGTACTTCTTTTATATACTATGGGAAGCAAATAGATTTTGAACATAGTTTACCGAATATAACGTTTAAAACCTTGCTACACACATGCAGTTATATTGCCAATAAGACAATATATCTAGGGAGTGTCTGGTTGTGAACTGACTTTTAATATAAATTTGTGCCATATCTGTGGCTAATAAAATTGTTTACTCGTCGTGAAAGAGAATGACTATTGGTTGTGTGCCATCTGAACTTATTGATCAACACTACTAAATCTTCAGAAATTCAAAGGAAACAGTTGTCATTTTCTTTTTGTCTACTAGTGCTTATTCACGTGAATATTGCCTGCAATGAACAGTATCTTCAAAAACAAATCGAATTTTTA